TTATGCTGCACGATGACCAACCTTAGGCAAAACTCCACACCCCCACAAAGAACCGATGTCAGAAGAAGCTTCACAGACCTACTCTTCGACTGGCAAAGGTTAAGGTGGCCCTCGCAACTTGCCCCACACCATTCGAAAAGACACTGCAACCACTATGGATTCCATACTGTACTAATTCCTGCTAGGTTCCACCCTATTGGTAGTAGGGGAACCCCTGAAACCAGGCAGTATGTGACAAAAAACCCGGTACGGCTTCCTTCACCCTAAACCCCCCAACCTCGCGACACAGCCAAAGCGGCAGCAGTCACACACGAGCATGTCTCAAACTGAAAGCCCCACCTTGGCGCACAGCAACATGCCTGCCTCGCAAAACCCCCCAAAACCCCCAAACCCTAAACCTTAAACCCTAAACCTTAAACCCTAAACCTTAAACCCCAAACCTTAAACCCCAAACTCGAATCACTGAACAAGGGTGTCATGGCCCATTCTGATCAACCCGCACTCTGTCCTGGGTCTAGGAACCCCCCCGTAAGCACCTGAACCCAAAGCACAAACCTTGAAGAAACTTAACCCTAAACCCTAAGCCCTAGAAACCCTAAACCCTAAACCCTAAACCCTAAACCTTGGCGCTCCTTCATGGCTCCAGTCGCACTGCCGTGGTTAGCTCACAAGGCATCACAAGGTCGCAGGCAGCGGCAGCATCTCCTCGGCACACTTTCGGTTTAGGGTTTAGGGTTTAGGGTGTAGGGTGTATAGTTTAGGGTTCAGGGTTTAGGGTTTAGGGTTCAGGGTTCAGGGTTTTAGGGTTCAGGGTTCAGGGTTCAGGGTTCAGGGTTCAGGGTTCAGGGTTCAGGGTTCAGGGTTCAGGCTCTCGGGTTTAGGGCTTGCTATTCGCCAGGTATAAGCACCCTTAACCCTAAACCCTCTCAACCATCCCACGGAAACGGCCGACATACTAGATACGAAATAATTCATGCAATGATATATAATACCGTAGTAGTGAATATCCGGAATGAGCAATACGGCGTTGACAACAATAAAAAGAAAAAGAACGATGATAATTGCGATACCCTCCGCTCCCTCCGACAAACCCACCTCCATGAAACGCCTTGTTGCAAGAGCTGTTGCAAGCAAACGTTCCAGACCTCTTTCGCATACCAAGGAGTCTAGAACGATGTTCCTATATTCCATCGTTTCGTCATCGTGTGCGCATGCCAAGTGCCTCCAAGTGTGATGTTGGTGGTAGGGGCAATAAAAGATCTCTCTGCATATCTGCCTTCCAAGCTAAGCAGTCAATGCCCAGCCAAGCATCATATCCTTCTGGCCATTCCTCGCCGCCCTTTCTGATGAACTCTCCTGCAAAGTCACCAGGACATGTCATGCAGCGTCTTAGGGTTGAGGGTTTAGGGTTTAGGGTTTAGGGTTTAGGGTTTAGGGTTTAGGGTTTAGGGCTTAGGGTTTAGGGTTTAGGGTTTAGGGTTCAGGGAAGTACCAGCAAGCATGACCTGCGTGTGCACGGGATCCTGTGACAAACCGCCTGGTCGCCCACTCCCCTGAATGTAATGCAACAAGAGCTTCGTCAGTTCCATGATCAGACGGAGCCGCGTCGAACTCGACACCGGTACAGATGCGAGAGCTTGATCTTTTTAGGTAACACGGCACTCCCAATTCAGCCTTCCCGCGGCTCCCTCACACCCTCAGCCCACGATCCCGGTTCAACCCCGCGGCCCGCAGCCCCCACCCTGCAGGTCCCCGAAAACCTCAAACCCTAAGCCGCAAAGGTCCCCCAAAACACGTTTACTTGGAGGTTCCATGGGCATTTGTGTCTGCTGGGTACATGTAAGACCAGACTGACAACCGCCCCATAAACATTCAAGTACAACACTAACCCTTGCTTCTGGCTTTCAAGAAAACCCTGAACCCATTCTCCCTACCTGCAAGCACTCATGATGTAGGGCAACACTGTACCCTAAACCCTCAAAACACCTTAAACCCTAAACCCTCAACCCTAAACCCTAAACCCTCGAAACTCCCAAACCCTAAACCCTCAAAACCCCAAAACCCTCAAAACCCCCGAACCCTAAACCCTAAACCCTAAACCCTAAACCCTAAACCCTAAACCCCATGAGGCCAAGAGTCGAAGGGCGGACCGCTCTTCAGCACCAAGCTCCGGATGCCAGGCCCGGGTCAGCAAAAGCAGCCGCGGCTGCTTCGGCTCATCTGGGGGGCTTTCGAAAGTGGGTTTAGGGTTTAGGGCTCAGGGCTTAGGGTTTGGGGTTTAGGGTTTGGGGTTTAGGGTTTAGGGTTTAGGGTTTAGGGTTTAGGGTTTAGGGTTTAGGGTTTAGGGTTTAGGGTTTAGGGTTTAGGGTTTAGGGTTTAGGGTTTAGGGTTTAGGGTTGGGGGGTGAGGGGGGCACCCTTGTTGGGGGGGGTTCCCTCTTAGGGGGGTTCTATATATTTCCTGGAACCCCTACCGTGGATTCCAACCTTGAGAGGGGAAAGGAACCGAGCAAAAACCCTAAACCCTAAACCCTAAACCCTAAACCCTAAACCCTAAACCCTAAACCTGGTTTTGGCTGGGGTTAGGGTTCCGGGTTAGAGTTTGGGCTTTTGGCTTCCCTCGAAACCACCTTGGCGGGGGAACTTTGGGCTTTTGGTTTAGGGTTTAGGATTTAGGGCTTAGGGCTTAGGGCTTAGGGTTTAGGGTTTAAGGCATCGGGCGTTTTCAGGTTGGCATGAGGGTGAGGCCTCGGGCGCTTAGGGCTTCGGCTTCGAGAAAGACCCTGACTAAACCAACCAGGTGCGAGTGAGTCAACGTGTGCCTTTTGTGGGGTTTAGGGGTTTCGGGTTATAGGGCTTAGGGAACCCTGAACCCTAAACCTTGAACCTTAATCCCTAAACCTTGAACCCTAAACCCTAAACCCTTAACTCTAAACCCTAAACCCTAAACCCTAAACCCTAAACCCTAAAACCTAAACCACAGCCGATAGTTGGCCACGACCAAGACTTGCCGGGACCTTTGAAATTTCAGGGCTAGAAAGTCCGGGACTCTTTGAATCGGGGGGTGGGCAAACGAGTCGTGAACATACCCCTGGAACCTACCCCCGAAAATCAAACGAACCCAACCACCAACAAAAACCATGATTTAAGAAGCCTCCCAAATCAGTCAGGCCCTGGACCTGAAGCATAGGTCGCCTAAACACTAAACCCTGAACTCTAAGCTGCCTCAACCCTCACACCCAGCTGCGAAGAAGCCGCAGGAATCGACACCCCCCCCCCCTTCCCCTGAGCCCTGCGTCCGAAAGGGAAGAAGCGAGGCTTTGGGAGGCTAGGGACTGCAGGCTTCACCAACCATAACAGCCTCCTGGTATCCTTTAAACCCCAAAACCCCAAACCTTTAAACCCCAAAAACCCTAAACCCCAAACCCCTGGGCCCTAAATAAACCCTCAACCCCAACCCTAACCCCCAAGCCCCCAAGCCCTAAACCCTAAACCACCCTAAACCCTAAACTCTAAACCTCCTCTAAACCCTAAACCCTAAACCCTAAACCCTAAACCCTAAACCCTAAACCCTAAACCCTAAACCCTAAACCCTAAACCCTAAACCCTAAACCCCAACCCAAAAGGAACAAGTCCCACAAGGCCCCCAAGCCTGGACTTGACAAGGCAGCTCCTTGGGTTTTCCAGGGCATGGAGGCTTCGGGTTTGGGGTTTTGGGGTTTAGGGTTTAGGGTTTGGGGTTTAGGGTTTGGGGTTTAGGGTTTTGGGGTTTAGGGTTTAGGGTTTGGGGTTTAGGGTTTAGGGTTTGGGGTTTAGGAAGTTTAGGGCTTTGGGTTTTGGGCTTCGGGTTTATGGAGAAACTGTGCGTGCAGTTCTTTTGGTTGAGCTGTCCTCAGAAATACCCCATCACAGACAGCAAATAACGAATACGGCAAGGAGGCTTTGGGGCTAAGGGCTTTGGAGACTGCAGGGCTGAGGGCTTGGGATTACTTACTGGCTCTGATCTATGCGCCCTTTATACACACATGCATATATATATGTATGTATGTATGTATGTATGTATGTATGTATGTATGTATGTATGTATGTATGTACGTATGTATGTATGTATGTATGTATGTATGTATGTATGTGTGTATGTGCATATATATATATATATATACACCACTTTAATGGGCTACACGGAGAGCTTGATTTCCTTTTCCCTGTTGGTTCTCGAATATGGTTGTGGTAAAGGCTGTTCAGGGTTTGGGGGCTGAAATGCCTTCAGGGTTTGGGATGTTCCGCGTGCTTAGGGTGTAGGGTTCCGGGGGTCAGGATTCAGGCGTCGGGTTCAGCTTGCAGGGTTTAAGTTTTGGGGTGGGCGTGTTTACATAAGCCGTGACTTTGGGGCTCTAGGGGTTGAGGGCTGAGGGTTTTGGATGTTCGGGGTTCAGGGCCGTGAGCGTTCACGTCTTTGAGAGGCTTAAGTCTTGAGGGCTTGCAAATACCCCCCCCTGTAGCATCCTGACCAGTTTGGGGTATGCCTCCAATAACCCAGATAGAGCTATGAACCTCCAAGAGGGCTCCGATCCTTGCAGGCTTACAGGCTTGGCTAGCGGATGGCTGGGTGAGTTCTTCGAAATGCTGGATTGCAGAACGCAGCATTTCTTAGGCTCAGGCATTCTCAGTGCCATTTCTGACAAGCATCGGTAGCGCACTGCGTGGGAGAAGGAGTCGTCGAAGACCAGGGTCTTCCCCGGCTTCCATGACACCTTGATTCATGACCCCTCCGAAGTCTACGTGGGGAAACATCGAGTGTCGTCCCTGAGCCAAACTGCATGCAATTCACATTGGAACTCTACGAATTTGTCTAGGCGGCGGGGCTCCCTTGAAAAGCCTTCGCACGCAATACTACTCTCTCCTGAATCTTGTCCGATGGTCCGTCTGCTCCTCGGGATGAGATTGTATCCTGGCAACGGACATCGTGGACATCGGCTGCAAACGTCCATCCGAAGCACGCTAAATGCTAGGCCTCGTGTGGTCATCCTCCGGCAAGGAGCCACCGCGCGGAACGATGGCCAACTCAGCCGCCGAGTTCGAGGGCACGACCACCTTGCTTTGCTTGGCGTGTCGTAAAGCAGCTGTCAATGAAGGACATGCAAGGCGACGATGGAGTCATTGAATGTAGCCTTCTTTGAGGTGCCAGCAGCCCTACTCACGATTCCCATCATGGACCTGTCGCTGCTCAAGGGGCAGTCGGGTGCCCGAATTAACTTGTGACACGGGCAGGTATTGGGAGCCTCATACGCAACAAGAGCCAACACGAGGTTCGAAGTATATGGTAGTTTCCGAAAATTGGGGGTACCTTACTTGGGTCCCTTTTTTTTAGGGAATCCTATTATTTGGGGGTCCCATAGGTTCGTAAACTCCCATGTCGTTGGAGCCTCCCTGTGCCGCTTTTTGAGGAAGCCCAGCCCAGGCACAGAGTGGGGAAGAGCTCAGGTGCGACCGGGAGGCGGGCACGTGGTAGGTCAGCTGACCGTTGCTGTGGCCCTGGTGGAAGGGCACCCAACCTTGGCTCCCTTGAAACCCTGCAAACGAAAACCTATCTCTTCGGGCATTCGCTATAGACTGTTCTGCTCCAACCCCTGAGCCCTAAACCCTAAACCCTAAACCCTAAACCCGAAACGCAGCGAAACTGCACAAATTGGCCTGGCAGCTGTCAGGCTCCAGGACACTCAGGAGGACGTGGCTCCAAGGATTCGTCCAGATTTCGGGCGAGGCCTCGACCAGGCCTCCAGCATCTAAAAATGCTTAGTTAGGGTTTAGGGTTTAGGGTTTAGGGTTTAGGGTTTAGGGTTTAGGGTTTAGGGTTTAGGGTTTAGGGTTTAGGGTTTAGGGTTTTAGGGTTTAGGGTTTAGGGTTTAGGGTTTAGGGTTTAGGGTTTAGGGTTTAGGGTTTATGGGATTGAGAGCTTTGGGCCTGAACAGGGCCTAAGTAGGGCTTGGGCCTTTAAGAAAAGACGCGAAAAAGGCCGGTCAAACTTACAGCCGACACTCGGCATCAAGCAAAGCCAGGCGTAAAACTTTTAAAAAGGCGAGCCGCTGCAAACCACCCTGAAGTGGCGCTCGCACAGCTTCTTGTTGAAGGCGCGCCCTCGCCAGAGTCGCACATCCACCCATGTTCCATTGCCCGCGATGAGGCGATCGAAGCCTGTCCGACAGAACATGCGCCCCGTGCGAGAATCGCTTGCATCAAGATCCAGCTTGTGATGGCTACGTGAAGGTTCAAGGGTCACGAAAAGTACGGTTATAAGCTAGGAGTATCTCAAAATCTTCAAAGGGGCTGTAGCATAGAACCTACAGCTACGCTGCTTGCAACCCCGAGCACAAGTTTTCACGAACCTCCGCAAATCCGAAACCCTGTAAACCTCTTCGAGCTTCAAACTATGATGTAGACAGCTTCCGGTGGCTCTGATACAACCGCGCCCTTGATAGGCCGGGCTCACACTCCTCCTTAGCACGTAGTGCCCTCGTCTGTCTGCCAAGCAACGCGTGGTGTGTGTGCCCACGCCTTTCAGATGCTCCTGGACAAATTAACAAGGAAGGGGCACCACTAATATCAGAAATGCTTGAGACGGTAGCTAGATTCAAAATGATGCTTGCGCGTTCCAAGCAAGAAGGGCCTTTCGGGGAAGGGCCACATGAGAGGAGAGGGGGGGCGGGGGCTGCAAGAGAGATTGGTAAGCCAAGGAGCTAGCTTTCGTGATTCTAGGAGCCCAAAATACCCACCGGAAACTTGAACATGCAAGGGCAAATCAGTTTGGGTTGAAGTGTTAAGAGTTTAGGGGCTTCGGGGTGAGCGGAAAGAAGATGCCCTGAAGCTGGCAAGAAGCCCCTCCACCTCGAGGTCTGGGTGCTGCCAGAAGCGTTCGACCTCGCGCCGGATTGCCGGGAAGTGCGCGTTGAAGCGCTGCGCTAGGGGCAGCTCACCTGCATCACAAAGAGGGGTTTGAGTTCATAGGCTGTGAGTCCGGCTGTGGGCACCTTCAGCTAAACCCTAAACCCTAAACCCTAAACCCTAAACCCTAAACCCTAAACCCTAAACCCTAAACCCTAAACTCTCCTAAAACCCTAAACCCTAAACCCTAAACGGCCCTATCTGCAAATGCTGACCGGGGGGCAGCTCTCCACGCACCAGACCTAGGCTTCGGGTTGTATGGTTTAGGGGCAAAAATGAAGGGCACCCTTTCTGGGGGTTTAGGGTTTAGGGTTTAGGGTTTAGGGTTTAGGGTTTAGGGTTTAGGGTTTAGGGTTTAGGGTTTAGGGTTTAGGGTTTAGGGTTTAGGGTTTAGGGTTTTCCTAAATGAGGAGAGAACTCTTCTGGGAGTATGCCTCCTACTAGTATCTTGGGGAATATGATGGCGTCACAAAGAACAGCCCCTGAACTGTTTTTGCGGATGCTGTATACTCCCATCGTTTCATCGAGCATGGATAGTGCTCTGAACGTTGTTGTTGAATTTTCACTCTTCTCTTTCTATGTACTTCCGGAAATAGGGTTTCGTCGTCCCCAATATGGGGGTTGGCATGTCCAGGTTCAGAAATCCCAACCACATGCTCAACAGCCGACAGCTACCTTTCGGCCAAGCTTTCGACTTTGTGGACCCTCGAATCCCAGCGAGACTTCCCAACTCCAATTGCCACTGTGCACTTCTTGGCCGTACCAGAAGCTCCAAAACAAGTAGCAAGCGCTGAGAGCTCAGTCCCTGCTAGTGCCTTGGGCTCTGCGCCCTATCCAACTTGGCAAGGCGCAGGCTTGGCGGTCAAGCCGGGGTGATACCACCTCAGACAGCACGAGAACCCAGAACATCCCAGAAACCAAACACGAACCCCCCAAGCCAACCCAGTCCATGCAACAAGCTGCGAAGGAACAAACAAGAATCTCCAGACCAATGTGTAGAACCCGCCCTGAACCCTCAACCATGCAAGGCAGGGTGATGTTGAAATCTGGAATATAGCCAGAATTTTGCCGAAGTCAAGGTCATCTCAACCCCGAAATTCCGAAAACACCAAACCCCTAAATTTTAAACGCCCAAACGCTTTTGAAACCCTAAGTCCCAGAACCCCTGAGGACCTTTCATCCTATGAGGGAGCAAAAAATGGTGTGGGGGGGGGAGGGGGAGGGGTGCTGGGGCCAGGGCCCTCTTCCACCTAGACGAAGAATCAGTCCCTGTGCCGCTTTTTGGGAGATGTACAGGATGCCCGAAACCCAAACACCCTAAACCATATGCCCTAAGCCCCAAGCCCTACTCCATAGAACCCCTTTCCCCATCAACCGCCTTGCGGCCCCAGAAACTCCGAGGCCACGATGGACTGCACGGCAGGAAGGGACAACCGCGGATGCGCTTCCCGAATGGCTCCTTGCGGACAGGCTCTGCTAGTTAGGGTTGGTTGTGTTCAGGGTTTTGAGAGTTTAGAGCTCAGGGTTTCGGGATGTTTCGAGGTTCAGAGACATGCCAGGCCGGCTATCGGATGTGCCAAAGCCCCACGACTTCCCATTTACGCAGGTGAAAGACATCGCGCAACAGCGTTGCCCATAGGACAGTCTGAGAGCACATCCGTTGAAGAAACCGGCGTCCAACGTAGTAGTTGTGGCTCTTGACGCCGTGCAGGTTGCCCGGGCGGAGGAGCGCTGGCTCCGGACATAGTGCCGGCGCCTGGGCGCCCGTGGTCTTCAAGAGGACCCAAAGAGATTCCAATGATTCGATGCAGCGAGCCTTAGCCCCTGCCGCGCAAAATCGAGTGACGCAAGCCGAAGTACGCCCCCAAAGCCCAAGGCAAACACACAACAAAGCCTCGTCAGAGGGTTCCCAAAGGCCATAATGCAACTTCATCTTCTTCTCCAGCTGCAGCGTTGCCTCCCGGCGCGTCCCATGGTGGAGCTGCAGGCATACGGGCACCAGGGGGATTTGGGGTTTGGAACTCAGGGCGTATAGGGTTCAGGTTTCATTCCGAGGGAGGGCAGCGGGAAAGCTTAAACCATCTTGACAAAGATGGTCGATGGTTTCAGGACGTATTGTGTGAACTTGACTAGAGTTCAACGGCTTTTGGTTTCAGGCTCAGGGCTTAAAGCTTAAGTACGCCGATGTCGACGAGACCTGGTCAAGCATTGGTGGGTGCAGGACTTACTTGAAGGATCATGGGGGTCATTTCTCGAACAAATTGTCCCTTTTGGGGGACCTGACTTTCAGGCCCCCTCTTTTTTAGGGGGTACCCAAAAGGGACCCCAATTTTGAGAACCGAGCATGGGTACTTCTGACTGCTTCAAGCAAGGTTTGGCATTCCAGGTCCTTGTCTTAATGATTCGAGAAGGAGTTAGGAAAAATCGGGGATCGTGTACAATTCCTTAAACCCTAAACCCCAATCCCTAGACCCTAAACCCCAAACCCAAGTCCCTGTAAGGACTGATGCACCCACCGCCTGAGAGACCTGTGCCAGATCTCGGAGGACGGCCTGCGAGTTCCTGCAGGGGCGGAGGGGCCAAGCAAGTTGAGGATTTAGGGTTTAGGGTTTAGGGTTTAGGGTTTAGGGTTTAGGGTTTAGGGTTTAGGGTTTAGGGTTTTAGGGTTTTAGGGATTTAGGGCTTAGGGCTTAGGGTTTAGGGTTTAGGGTTTAGGGTTTAGGGTTTAGGGTTTAGGGTTTAGGGTTTAGGGTTTAGGGTTCAAAGCTTCCACTGTTCTAAGGCCAAGGACATCCTCTGGCTCTTACATGGAGGCTTGCAGGTAGGTATAGATGGAGATAAGAATGGGGGTAATTGCAGTCTTGATTTAAGGGTGCTTGTAACCCTACGTCCAAGTAACCGTTTCAAGTAGGCTTCACTGCCGGTTTAGTTTGGTACTTGCCAGATTGGGCCTATGCTCTGGGTCACTTGCTTCTGATCTCTTGGCGACCCTAAACGCTAGGGCGAAAGTGTCCAGCCACAGTGCGGGGTGACGACTCGCCCTGGAATGATCTGAGTACAACAGCATAACACCATCTTACCTCAAACCCTCAACCCTAAAGAGGGAAAATCTAGGGGCTCGCTGCCTTTTGCGAGATTCAAAGGTGCGACAGCACAACCCTCCCCAAACCCCCCCAAGTCGGGGGTTTCGGGTCTTAGGGTATTTAGGGCTTAGGTTTTAGGCTTTAAACCTTAGGGTTTAGGCCTCAGGCTTTGGATTTGAAGCGGCGTTTAGGCTTTAGGCTTGGGGCTTTAGGGTTGGGAACGATCAAAACCCTCCAAACACCCCCGGAACCCCGCAGGGTCCGATACTTGCGGAGCTCTGTGAGCTCCCGGAGGGCACCATCGGGTGTCAGGCAGACGCCCTCCCTGCGCAGCAGCGTTCGGGGGGGCTTTCGTTTAGGATTTTTATGGGCTGTTTGTGGGGTGCCGGTGCTTTAGGGCATTGGGGGCTGTAGAGTTTGGTGAGTTTGGACTTTGAAGGCAGGCCTCTTCCACAGGGTGGAAACACTTGAGGTTTGAGGGTGGAGAATCAGTCACTCCAGCAATTCGGATCGTTTTTGGATCAGATTGCTGGCTGGTCCTGCTGATACGTTTCAGCATCAGAAACTGTGCTTAAGAAGGTGTTGACATCATACGAGGGGAACGATAAAATGCACACCATCGGAATGGCACGCAGTTGCAGTATTTCCCACAATCAAGAAACAATCCATGCGAAGCATGTCGGCATTGCCAGTATCTTTACTTTTGCTGCTGCCTTTCTCACGCAGCAAAGCGCTTTGCTGTGTGAAACGTGCAGCCGATGGCTAAGCCCCTAAGTCGAGCCTATAAGCCCCAATAAGCCCCAATAAGCCCCAATAAGCCCCAATAAGCCCCAATAAGCCCCAATAAGCCCCAATAAGCCCCAATAAGCCCCAATAAGCCCCAATAAGCCCCAATAAGCCCCAATAAGCCCCAATAAGCCCCAATAAGCCCCAATAAGCCCCAATAAGCCCCAATAAGCCCCAATAAGCCCCAATAAGCCCCAATAAGCCCCAATAAGCCCCAATAAGCCCCAATAAGCCCCAATAAGCCCCAATAGCCTCGACTCTCTGCAAAAGCCCTCTCTGCCTTGAGGTATTTGTGCTGGACGCGCGCAGCATCCAAAAGATACCGACATACAGCCGAAGCCACACCATGGCTCCGGCCCTCAGGGCGAAACCCCACAAGGCTGCCCTTAAAGAAGGTGAC